TTTTGCAAACTGAACAATTTTTAAAATTAAACGACTTGTCGTAGGGCCGTTATATATTATAAGATTGTTCGGAAAGTCACTTCGTCGCTTTTACCACCAGAATTTAACAATATTTTTTCAAAACCTAACATCACACTCAAGCTCTATAATTATTATATGATTTGAAAACTTATTTTTAAAGGCTTGCCTGTAAAAAATTCTAATTAATTACATGCAGTAATTTTTGGATGGTGCCACTCAGAATATGGAAAGAATTAAGCAGCATTTTCGACATATTTTACTCTTTTGCTATAGAAAAGGCAAAAAAAACAGTTTAGGTCAAAATGAAATTGACCGATGTGTACGGAAATGACGTGTTGATAGTACGACAGTGCCTAAATTGGTTTGCTAAATTTCATTCTTGGTATTTTGATGTCGGTTGAAGCTAATAAAGGCATGAGAAAGGCATTAGTTTATCCAAACCGGCAAATAACAGTACATGAGATCCCATTGTGTAAAAATTTATCGAATTTAATAGACAGCCATTAAAAATGTTTGAGATTTTTCTCGAAACTCAAAAAATGGTTTTCATAGAACGAAACCTGTGTCGTCGCACTGGCGTCCGCGATTCGCCTCTGAAAAGTCTTGAAAATTATCAGGCTTTGCAGCGAATTGTCTCTAGGAATGTCAAATGAGATGTAAAGAATACAATAAACGCAATTGACTATGCAACGAAAAAGAATAATTTGCTGAAAACAGGTGCGAAGCTGAAATTTGCCAGAAAAAATGTGGTGCAGTATGTTTGGTAAGATTTTATAGGAGTTGTTCATTTTTCAGCTTTTTCAGGATAACATCACGGTTAATTCGTAAATTAATATACTTTAATAAAAAAGCTTGAATCTGAATCAAGACGACGCAAGACTACACTCGCCAGACGCTTTTGTAGCTTGAATGGGACTCAAAGACACATTCATCATATTCTTCAGACCTGCCATCATGGGACCATTATTTGCTCCGGCCACTAAAAAAAAAATTAGGCGGTAAAACCTTCACCTCAAATCAGCCTGTTAAAAAGCACTTAGATCAGTTTTTTGCCAATAACGACCAAAAAATTTATGATTTCATAATTATGCTAATACCAGAAATATGACAAAAGATGCTCGATCAAAACTGCTAATACATAATTTATTAAAGTACGTGTTTATTGTACGAAATGTCAAAATACCAAAATGTCTATAAAAAACGAAATTACTTTTCGAACAACCCAATAGTATGATCTACCGCCAAAAAAGATCATAACTAGTGGGGTGTATGGCATCGTGTCAAGTCAAATCGCCGTAACTTCCCGTACCGAAATTAAAAATTCGAGGAATAAAAATAATCAATTGTTGTTTTAAATAATTTCAAATAGATTATTAATTGTAAATACATACTGCAAATTTCTAAATGCTTATTAAATATTAAACTAGTGGGGTGGGTGGCATCGTGCCTTAAGGCAAATTGCTGGAACTTCCCCTACCGTAACGAAATGTTCGAGGAATACTGAATGTTTTCAAATAAATTATTATAAATATTGTAACATTGTCTAATATTTATAAGTATTATATAAACTGAATTGCAAAGTTGAAATTATTTGTTTAAAGTATATTAGAACTATAGTCAGAATTAAAAATAAAATCTGAATTATTTTCGATATACAAAAAATTAAAAAAAAAATGAAACAAAAAATTAATTTTTCCAAAATCAATAATTTTGTTAAGACAAGCAGAAAGTTCTTTGAATCATTCAAATCGGACGCTTAGTTCTCTCAAAAACTGCCATTTTTTACATATTTACCTCCGTATCTTCGAAATGGCTGGGCCTACCTTTGCCAAAAACTAATAAACACTTCTCCCAATCATTACTAATTGAATGTTTTTTAGATCATTCAAATCGGATACTCCGTTCTCTCAAAAAGTCGATTTCTATTTTCTGCACTCTTTGCTCCGTATCCCCGAAACGGCTGGACCTGCCTTTGCCAAAAACTAATCAGCTCTTTTCCCTATCGATAGGAATCGAATGTTTTTTGAACCATTCAAATCGGTTGATTCGTGCGCCCGAAAACGTGACTGGAAATTTGTATCCATACATACATACACACACACACATCCATTTTTTCTGAGGTATGCCAAAATGTTCAGAAACCTTCAAAACTTCGAGAAATGTAAAAATTTTCAATTCCGATTTTCGGCCCATTACAATAACTTACCCTACGGGAAGTTAAAAATTAAACAATTTCTTGTAAACATACACATAAGTTGTTTGCAGAATACGCTCGTCGGCATTCATTTTTTGCACACCATCCACACAATTAAAACGTTTTTCTAATTGGATGATCCGTTCTCTCAAAAACTGCATTTTTACACTCTTTTCGCTCCATAACGCCTCGCGATCGAGTACGAACCAAATGTTTTTTTCAATAATACAATTCGTTTATTCCATACTGTCGAAAATGTCGAGGACATTTGTTTGAACCATATACGTAAATTTGAAAATTAAAAATCTTTAAACAAAACCAAAAAAAAAATTGACACAAAATGTGTACACATTATTAAAATCTCTACAAAATATCTGATAATTTTATGTGCATATGTCCAATGAACATTTTTGACTGCCAAATGCCTTTTTTAACTTAGTTTTATTGAGAGACCACAACCGATGGACCTGCCTTCCCGAAAATTCAATCAGTTGTTCGTGTTGTCAATAGAAGGAAAATGTTTTTAAACTTTCCGTAGGGTAAGTTATAGTAATCGCAAAAAAATCGAAAATGAAAATTTTCATATATCTGAACACGGGAACACGGATCAACCGATTTGAAAAATTTAAAAAACATTCGATTTGTATTGATAAGGAGAAAATGAAATGAAAATAAAATTTCAGACGTCAGTTACTCTGTACACACTAGAATGTAACGAAAAAATGTCAAAAATCATTAGTCTAAATGTTCTAATTAAAAATAGCTTGGTTTATTATTGTATAAATAGTGTAGTGTATTTTTATATAATAAATTTTCTTTGTTCCACTGAATGTCCTGTACCCATGCCTACAGTGCAGAAGTTCTAATTTTTTTAATAACCTATACTGTTATTTGCCAATTAGTTAAAAATTATTATGTTTTTTACACTACAGTCTATACCGAAATGTGTACACATTCATATGGGTGACCTTAAATGCACAACTGCTTTAAAGAAAATGATGAGTCTCAGAACCCACACTTAACTCTTTAATTATATTGTGAAATTCAAGTCAGCGATTGTAATACCATCAAACAAACAACTATTAAAATAAGTTCAATAAAATAGTATATTAGAAATACACATTACAATTTATTGAACTGAAATTTATTTCCAACAGCTCAATTTATTTTAATGCCAAGGGTTATCCAATATTTTTAGTCATACCTGTGCTGTAGATGTAGATGTATAAATAAATGATTTTTTGTTTATTCACGACACGATCGATTTTCAGAATTTATCACACAAAAATTCACCGTCTGCCTTTGTGATTTATAGAGTAAGATATACGTGTTGAAAATTGCTGTCTTTTAAACAGTATAACGAATTCAGAAAGAATTAATATATAGTATCCGCGGTAAAGGTACAATATCATTGTTTCAATAGTGTTACTATATATTAACTGGTGTCAGTATTAATAATATCTAAATTACATTTTTAATAATAATTCGGTATACATTATTACTTATTTGCATGGTATTTTAGAATTTCTTGAACCATGTTAATTCTAATTTCTTCATGAAATACGATTACCTTTTATCAGTACACATTTCAGAGCTTATTTTGAGCACTATAAAACCCAATGGAATATATAAAATGTAACACCTCGCCGCTGGATGTGTTCAAATACAACAATTAAATCCCGGACGAAATAAAAATCGCATTTTCGTATCAAGCTTAATATTGTTCCTAGGACACGCTTAAAACACCGATTTATTAAGATTATAATTGATTTAATTTTGTTCATTACATGATTTTCGTTAAAATATATATTTTTGGAGATATTTGCAAAAAAACGATGAAAAAGCCTAAAATGAAACTAATTGTTAGTAGCCAGTAACTTCAAAAGTATAGGTTTGCTGAAAAACATTATAAAACATATTTTTCTTATAATTTTTCTATCGATATCGGACCTTATTTTGAAAACAAATGAAGCCACTGAAAATGGGTGTCATCCACCCGTGGAGTCAAAATAATTTCCCTTTTGAACTTGAGAATAAGATGAACCTAATTCCAAAATTTCATACAAATTGGAGCACAGTACAAAAAATCAGATCTAAAACGCTCCATTGACTTGAGTAAATATTCCGTATCGAATGCCAAACATAAGAATTTTTGACACAATGAAACTTCTAAACAATTTTCTGAATAAGTAAATTTTTGATTATTATTTAAATCTGTCAAATAGAATTATTAGACTAAGTTTGATGTGTAATCACTGACAGGCGCATGCGCAGACTGCACCACCTGTCAGCATGTTGACTGTATATCTTATATTATTTTAATTTTTGGCACATCTCAGGTGCCTTTCGGCAATAATAATGTAGAAATTACATTTTTCTTATTCATAATCATTAATATATTATATTTTAATATTGTCTTTGCTTATAAACGAATTGAAATGTTTTTGCAGATGACAGTCTTCATTTGTTTTCAATGCCAAGTAATGCCTCAAATATTTTCAATTTCAATCAATGATAAACGTTTTTTTGTATTTTTTTCCATTTATTTCTACAATCTAACTATATTTCTATAATTCAAAAAATTCTGAAAAAATCGCTTAACAAACTTCAGAAAGATTTATCAAATATCCGAATTATCATTTAGGAGGATTATCCTTTCAACACCATTACAGAAAAAATTTATATATAAGATGTGTGTGTGTGTCTGTGTGCGAACACTAATATTATTATTATTAATTAAGATTAGATTAATTGATACCATATTTAAAAAGACTCTTAATTTTAGTCATACGCGGACTATGTGTTAAACATGATGCTGAAATTGTGCGCCTCAGCACGGGATGAGAGAATTGAAAAGCTGCAGCAATGTACAGATGTTGTACAGATTTTTAAAGAAATTTTAGAGGTAAATTATTATCCTGCACTTCTTAGAACATATACATACTTACTTACATATGTTTATATATGCTTATAATTATATGCATATATATATATATATATATATATATATATATATATATATATATATTGTTAGGGCTATCCACCCCTTTGTAATAATTATAAATAATATTATAAATTACTATATAACGGCCAGAATATGAACGACGCAGTTAGTTATTGCTCATAGTTACATTGTAAGCTTGCAGTAACCTTGCAAGTGATAAAATTCCTTTTGAAACCACAAACTGTGCGTTACGACCAAGTAAAGCGTAGTTTCTGACTCACATATATCGTACATTCTAGAAAAGGAATGCGTCATACCGATAAGGAGTATTTAAGGTTCTGGATGATGCAATAAACAGTCAGTTCGAGTCAGTATGAGTATGGGTCAAGATCAGTATGGGTTAAGATCAATATAGTTCAGTTGTAATCCAGTTATAATAAAATTTAGTCATTTTGAATAATATAAAGTAATCAATGGAGTTATATTTAAGTTCAGTGTTCAAATTATATGAAAAGTGTACAAGAATCATGAAATAAACGTAAACATCAAAAGTCTTCATCTGTTTTACTGATTCCATTTCACATTCTGGTACCAGCTTGATACTTAGCAGCAGGAAGAACCTACATTTTGTTGGCTCCGTCGCTGGATGGGGCACAACATATTTTATTTGGTGTCAGCGCTGGGATTGCCACAACATATTTTATTTGGTGGCAGCTTGGGATTCTGCGAATTTTTTTTAAAAAAAATGCTAAATTATTTACCATAACATGTCTTGAACATAGAATTATTGCATATTTGGACACCGAATATTTAAGAAAATACGCCGAAATATAGCAATAATTAGATTCAAGAAAAGGTAAAAAGCTTTACTGGAAGTGGAAATATTATTGAAATTACAAAGTGAAGACTCCAAGAATCAAGAAGTAAGAAAAGAGAAAAATCGTAACAAAAAGAAACAAGAAAATCAAATTAATAATCAAGAAACAAAGAAAGAGAAAGAAGATAATATAAATCAAGAAGAAGAATCAAGAAGTTCAAGTGTTATATTTAAAAGTGAAAAGTCAAAGGTGAAAAATAAAATAAAAAGTGTTATGAAAAAGTGATATAATCATTGTTCAAGGTTACAAAAGTTTAAGTGATTGTGAATTCGAGTGAACCAAAAGGATATTAAATTAAGAAAGGAATACAACTCATTGTCAGTAAGCTTATTTTTAATATATTTTTGTAAATTTTTGCGCTTCTGTTTCAGTAGTTTTTCATACTTTTCAAAAATGAATGAACCAGTAGATATGTCGCGCGAAGGTAAATTAAATATTCAAACTGCTATCGCTTTAATTCCGAATTTCAATGGGGAACCTTCAATGCTTCCTTCATTTATTACTGCTTGCGATGCATTGTTGGTGGATTTGAGTCCATCAGAAGCGGAAAAATTGCTTACAGTTATAAAATTAAAATTAGACCCACAAATTTTTGCAAAGATCCAATTTATTAATTTTGAAACGTGGGAAGATTTAAAATGTTATTTAGCTAAAGAATATGTTGTAAAACGACCCATTTCTAGTTTATTAAACGAATTGAATAATTTAAAACAAAAACATAACGAAACAGTAAAAAGTTTTGGAGACAGAATAGAAGAAATTTTGCGACAAATTTATTATACAAATATAAATTCAATAGGACAAGACGCAGCGAACATTACACAAGTGACATACGTAGAAATGAGTGTAAAAGTTTTTGAAAATGGCTTAAGAGAACCGTTAAAAACTTTAGTAAAATGCTGTCGATTTTCTGATATTAAAGATGCTATTGACTTCGCTTTGCAAGAAGAAGCTTGTCAAAATTCATCAAATATCAGAAATAATCAAAATAATAATATAATATGTTACATTTGCAAAAAACGTGGTCATATCAATTTAATTTTTGAATGCAAAAATCCAAATCGAAGAAATTTTAATACAAATCGAAATAATTTTAACATGTCAAAAACTTTTATTACCCCTACCAACGAACACAGACAAAAGTGCAACTATTCGCACACACATGCAGAAAATGCAACCCAGAGAATATCAAACTGTGACGAAATTCAACAAACCACAAATTCCCAAACCCAAGACCCAAAACCAACAACACCAGAAAACGATACAATTACAGTACGTGAACTAAATGCACAATTTTTCAGTTCATTTTCAATAAATAAAACTGACGAAAGTAAAATAAATTTCAAAAACAAAAATATTTCGTTACAAATAGAAAACAAAACTTTTTGCACAAAACCAATCAAAGAACAAGATTCGAGAAACGATAAACAGCAATTAAAAGACAAAGATGGAACCAAAGAAAGACATGACAAAAACGTTCCAATTTTAACAAAATCAAATAACGAAAAAGAACAGAAAGACAACATTTCAAACGACCCACAAATTGCACAAACGCACGAAAAACGTTCAGATTTTCAAACAAACAAAACGATCAAAAAAGTTGAAGAACCAGAGGTAGTTACAGTCACAACTACTACCAAACATCGTTATCAACAAACAAAATCAAAGAAATCTTACGACAAGTACGTAAAACCACAACGAACATTTAAAATCGACAATTTAGAATTATTAACCGACAAAAACCCTTACGCAAGTAAATCCAAAAAACTGATGCCTCTATTTAAAGATGCATACAGAGTTTTTAAGACAAATGGTACAGGACGGATAAAACCGATCAACGACAAAGGACATGCCAACTGATAATGATTTTTTTTTTGCGAATTGAAATTTACAAAACCAAAAAATGAAATAAATATTCCAATTGTCAATAATAGACAACAAGTTAAGTTTACAAAGAAATATATGAATTAAATGTAGGAAGAAAAAAAAACAAATGAATTATAATAAAATTGTCACAACCAAAGATTCTCAAACTTTTTTTCACAAACATTGAAATTTACAATGTAAATGAAATCAAAGTTTCTTTTTTTAAAAAAAAGAGCATTGTCATATTATAAGTCATGATAATTATTGTAAAACTGTTTACACTATTATTAATCAATGAAATGTCATATTTTGAAATATTATAAAGATGTTATATAACTCAACTGTAATCATGAAATTTTGAAAAATAATACCATTAAAATAAAATTATGCTTAATTATAAATTCATGATATTGCTCTACAATAAACACAACTTTTGAATTTTTTTTATTAACATTTTTTTTTAATTTTTCGAAATTTCATGAAGAAAAAAAATGTATTTGAAATATTATATGAACTTCAACATTATATTAATTATATCCAAACAAATAATTATAAGAAATCTATACAATGTAATAGCATGAGCAAACTTTTTTTTTTGAAGCACCCGAAATGCTTTCTTTTTATGAACGCACGAGGGCGCGCGTTTTTTCGGCGGGTGAGGTGTTAGGGCTATCCACCCCTTTGTAATAATTATAAATAATATTATAAATTACTATATAACGGCCAGAATATGAACGACGCAGTTAGTTGTTGCTCATAGTTACATTGTAAGCTTGCAGTAACCTTGCAAGTGATAAAATTCCTTTTGAAACCACAAACTGTGCGTTACGACCAAGTAAAGCGTAGTTTCTGACTCACATATATCGTACATTCTAGAAAAGGAATGCGTCATACCGATAAGGAGTATTTAAGGTTCTGGATGATGCAATAAACAGTCAGTTTGAGTCAGTGTGAGTATGGGTCAAGATCAGTATGGGTTAAGATCAATATAGTTCAATTGTAATCCAGTTATAATAAAATTTAGTCATTTTGAGTAATATAAAGTAATCAATGGAGTTATATTTAAGTTCAAATTATATGAAAAGTGTACAAGAATCATGAAATAAACGTAAACATCAAAAGTCTTCATCTGTTTTACTGATTCCATTTCACATTCTGGTACCAGCTTGATACTTAGCAGCAGGAAGAACCTACATTTTGTTGGCTCCGTCGCTGGATGGGGCACAACAATATATATATATATATATATATATATATATATATATAAAATAAACAAATAATATATATATATATATATATATATATATATATATATCTTGAGGATTTTTTGTTCGACGCTGAAACATATTGAATTGAATATAATATCCAATGCGTCGAATGTGGAAAAGTTTATTTTGATTTATTTATACGTTTCGAGACTAGATGTGTCTCATCATTCAGCTAGAAGAAAATTTATAATATAAGGAAAAGTTTTAGAATTAAAGGTATTACATTAGAAAAATTTATTGAAAAACAAAAAAAGATAAACAAAGTTATACACACTAGATCAGGAAAAAGCACATTTTAATATCATATTTTACAACACAACATCACCTGATACTACTGTAGGAAAATAAACATAATTTAAAAAAGAATCGAAAACGGTAAATGTAAAAATATATATAACACATATTTATTTGTTTTTAAGCAAACAAAGCACACCATGATCAATCGGGCCACACGCCAACCGAGAATGTTCTGTTACGCGAGACGCGACCAACACGCGATATTGTTAGGAAGGATCAGTCAGGGGCGTAGTAGGAAATCACATTTACAGAAATTAATTAAATTTTGATAACTTTCTGAAAGTAAACAAGAGGAACTACGTTTGTTGAATTTAAAAAGAATAAACAAGATTTCCATTATCATTTCTCTTATTAATAGAGCTATTCTCTTAAGTAATAAAACTTTTCGGAATAAGAACTTGAAATTTGATAAATAATATAATTAAAAACAGGTTAGAATTTTTAAACATTACCAATATTAATAATAATAATCTTATATCCGTTATCCAAAAATATTTTACTGCTGATTCAAACTCTTCTTCATCTTTATTTAGTAAATATAAAGGCATTATTTGCTTACCTTATTTGGGTAGCTATTCTTATTTTCTAAAAAAACTTTTTTCTGTTGAAGGTTTTCTTTTAGTTCTTACATTTGACAACACACTCAATTCTC